TGTTTACCTACTGGTGTGATGTAAATTTATTGCCAGTGGAAATCAACCGCCTTGGGTCTTGCTCCGCCATCTTCATTTGAAATTTACGCACTATGCAGCGCTTTGCCATCAATGTCCACCATTTATATATTGAGGAGGGCTTTTGAGCTCATTGAGATTTTGCTTCATACTCAATATTGTGCTCTCCAAAGGCTCCTACTTTGCAAATTGTAGTATTTGCTTCAAATAGTAGTAAAAGCAACAATAATAATCCTTAAATTTGGTATAGCTTCAGGCTCCGCCACTGCTTATCGCTCCAAGCCGCTGCCCAGAGGGAAGTGTGCTATATAAATGCAAGTTGTTGGTTGTTGTATAGCACCTTTCACGTTGGGAGTACTTCTCAAAGTACTTTGCTGGATATACTGTAAATTGCAGTGATTTTGTATTTTGTGGGAAAACATGTCAGCTAATTTGTGCATAGCATTGTCCCACAAACAGCTGTAAAGTGAATCACCAAATGTTAAAAATGTTAAAAGGCAAGTTATCATGTGGTTGGAACGACACCACTCTCAGAAGGTGCACATACATATTTACAGTAATGTACCCACATGCGCTGTACCAAACCTTGCCAAACTGCAATGAAAACGCACATTAGGCTTTTTGTCTATATGTATCTTGAGATATATCTAGGGCCATGAGCATTGGATAAAGAAAACAGATGCAGAGAACATGAATTTAGCTGCATTCCAATTTCTTTGTGTGGCAGTTGTGCATAAAGAAAAACAACTTTGTGTTGTGGATATATGAAAGACATTGAGTCCATCCCATCTTGTTTTACTTAGGAAACGTAACAGTCATCAGAGGGAGAGGCAGTTTCATTCAGTCTGTCTGGTCTGAAAATAAATATTGGACCCAGAGATGAAAGGGCAGTAACTTTAAACTCAACTGAACTCCCCGTTCTAACTCAACCTTACATTCACTTGACAATGTGGATAGAAGTTCCTCTGTTCCATTTCTCTACTGAGTTTGGATATGGCTCGTGTTCATCTGGCTTGTTCAATTTGATGAAGGATGTGACGTTGACGGAAGTGACCCGAAAGCGGGTCTTTTTTTTATTGTAGTGGGAATAATTTCAGTTTTAAGTCATGTTTTGTGAGTTACAGCGTAGGACACTACAATAAATAATCGTTCTTGTGTGTGGTAATTATCACAAGGGAAGACAATGTGATTATTTTTTGCCCTTAATTTTAAGCACTCCAAGGTACTTCCTGCCTAAAGGGTGCTATATGAATGCAAATTATTGTTATTGAAAAGTCAGCTGGTGTGCAGAAAGTGAGCAGACTTGTAATGTGATTGTGTTGAGAACGGGGTCCATAATGCAATAATATTATAAGCAAATTTGTGCTGTAGTAAACTCATTATACCACGAAAGCTCTATAAATAGTGCTTTTCACACAGTTAAACATCTCAAAGCACCCTTCATATAGACAGATGGGAGCCCAAGCCGGATGGGAGATTGGGAGTGGATTAAAAAGGAGATAACTGAAGGCCCAGTCAAAGAGATATGTTTTTAGAAGGATTTTGAAAACAGAGAGGGAGGGCATAGAGAATCTCAGAGTGAGGAGGATATGGAGCAGGCCTGAGTTGGCTAAGTAGATGTAGTGGATGTGGGAGTCGGACCGTGGGAGATCAGAGGTAGAGTGCGGCAAAGGTGTGGAGGAATTTGAAAGTTATAATTAGGATCAAGTCATTTCACTGGGAAAATTGTAGCCAGTGGAGCCTGGTGAGAATGATACTGATGGGCTTGTGGAGCCTGGTATGGGAAAGTATAGAGGGTGCAGAGATTTGGATGATCTGCAGTTCATGGAGAAGAGAAAAGGAAATTTCTCCCAGTGTCCTGACCAACAATCCACCAAATAAACTGATCATTCACTTTATGTGGGATGTTGTTGTGTACAAATTGGCTGTTGCTTTCGCTCACAAAACACACAGTCACTGCACTTTACAATATATCATGTGAAGTGCTTTGGGATGTATTGCTGATGTGAGAGGCACTTTATCAAATGTAAGGATTATTATTATTATTGCTATATTATTTGCAGAGAATAGGAGATCATTGGTGAATTCAAGTTTGGAGGTGAAGAAAACAAGAATGATTGTATCGTGGATGTGGGATATGTGGGAGTGAGACAGGGACACAGCCAGGCAATGTTGATCAAATTAAATGATCGAATGAAAGGCTTAAAGCAGAGCTGAGAGGCAAACAAAACACAGAGATTGCACACTGGCTCTGTAAGATGGATTGAGTAGCCAGTGAGATTGATTCAGATTGAACAGAGAGAGGTGACTAGTTGTATCTATTCAGATGGTTTCAATCCTGTGTTGAGGAACAAGGTTCTTTTGAAAGAACAATGCTTTAATGCTATCTCTATGGCTGCCCAGTCTAGGAGAAAAGTCATTCATTCTGAAAAAAATCAGTTTAATGGCAGGTAATTTTTCCGAAATCCCTCTCTCGTTGTCATGGTTGATGATTTCATCAATATGGTTTTAATCTGTTTTGACTAACTGTAAAACAATACTTTTGACTACATGACTCGAGCGAAGGAGAATATGTGATAGATTCCTACACGTTTTAATATCTACCCTATACAGGCATACAAAGTGATAGCTATATTTGCTTTTTAAAATAAGTTACACATGTCGGCAGCTAAAAGCTTAAATTGCAGCATCTGTTTCCAGTAAATAAAATCCTGAAAAAGCACAAAAATGTAATTTATGCCAAGAGGTTCCATGCGAATACATCATTTCTGTGATACAAATCATCCAAAATCCAACAAGGTTGTATCATATGGTGGAAAGGCAGAGGTACAGGAACTGAATATCATAAACGTCTTGAACAAGTATTTGCCCAGACATCAGACATGATTCCTGATGAATTCAGCAAGGAAATATGTAACAGTGCTTCTTGTATTAGTCTCAGAGGGGATTTTATAGAGTGTCCAACATTTTAAATGGGATTGGAAAAGTAAACCCGGAATAATACTTTAGAGCCACTAGTATGCAAATGGTTGACCAGAAGAACCCAAAGGGTGGTGGTACAGGGAATGTTATCAGACTGGGAAAATGTTACCAGTGGAGTTCCACAAGGATCTGTTTTGGGACCTCTTTTGTTTAATATTTTTATAAATGATGTGAAACTAGAAGTCGCAAGCACAGTGGCTAAGTTTGCAGATGACACCAAGCTAATGAAGGTGGTAGATTGTGACGCTGAACAAGATAGGTTACAGGAGGATTTGAACATACTTAGGAATTGGGCAGATCGGTGGCAGCTGAAATTCAATGTGGAGAAATGTAAAGTATGTCACATGGAGACAAAAAATCCTGGATGGGACTATTATTTGAACGGACGGAAAATAATATGTATGGAAAATGAAAAGGACCTGAGGGTCCTGATTGACAATAAATTGAAGCTCTCGCAACAATGCTCTGTGTCAGTGTGCAAAGCAAACCAGATGTTGAGATGTATCAAAAGATCAATAGCAAGCCGAAATAGTGGGGTAGTCCTGCCACTATAAATCGTTGGTGAGACCATATTTAGAGTACTGTGTACTTTAAGTATGTACCAAAAGGATATTGGAGAAATCGAGAAGATACAGAGGAGGGCAACCAAAATGATTGAGGAAATGTAAGCACTGGACTATGAGAAGTGACTAAGTAAATTGGGCAAGTTCACGCTGGAAAAGAGAAGATTGAGAGGTGACAGTATAGATAATGAAAGGCTGTTTCAACTTGTCCAGAATAGTAGAATCCAAGGAAATGCCCTGCAATTGAAGGGGGGTAAATTCAGAACGAATCTACGCAAGCACTATTTCAGTGAGCGAATAGTGAACCTGTGGAACAGGCTCCCTAGGGAAATGGTTGAAGTAGGAAGTGTTGATTCTTTCAAACACAGGTTAGATAGTTTTCTGTTAGGAAATAACATTATGGGATATAGTACATAGGTAGTTTTGGGACGTATGTGAATGCGACTGCCAGGAAGGTGGAAGGTGAACTTGGTCTTTTTTCATCTAGCATTTCTTATGTTCTTACGTTCTTATATGTAACACCACCAGCAACAAATTACAATTATATTGTGCCTTTCACAGAAAGGCGCTGTACAGTTTGCACCAGGACATAGTTTAGAGTTGCCATGGGCAATTTCAGTGGAGACACGAGGAAGTATTTTTTTACCCAGAGGGTAAACTTAGAGCTCTGAGATGCCACCTCATGTGAGGGGTGCTATATAAATGGACACAACATGAATGACTGGAACAAGTTGCCAGGAAGAGCAGTTGAGGAGGAACCCTGGACTCATTTAAAAAATGGTTTGATGCTGTAATGGGACGACAGTGGGTATTCTGAAAGGAGGAGATCTTATGGGCCGTAGGGCTTTCTTCATCTGAATCAATCTTGTGATTCTTGTGTTCTTGTGATCTGCAAAACGTCAGAACTTACATTACGTGAACATTCATTTAATTTTTGCCAATTTTAAACTAATATGAAATATTTACAGCAAATACATGACATCTTGTTTAATTGTGCTCTGTTTTCTATGATTTCAAAGTCCGTACAAGAAAAATATTATTTAAAGAACAGTTCTGCTTTATGTAAAGATAATTAAACTAGCCAGTGCATGTTATAACTTGGATTTGGGTACAAACCAAAATAGGTGCTTTATATCCACTTAACCAGATAGGAATACAAAAATAAGCTCAAGTATGCATCACTGCACTGTAAAATAGGACATTAATTTATCTGTCAGAGCTCTAGCTGTCAACAGGATTCAAATAGTGAAGGTATAACATCAACAAGAAGCTGAAATACTCTTGGTAAACATTCATAAATTCAGAAAACTTTAAACATTTATTCAGTGACTGTAGACCAGGTGAATTGATTTAGTATTTTTTATAGTTATTAAGATTTTCCTTATAAGCTTATATTTTACAATACAACTTACATTTATATTGTGCCTTTCACGTCAGGAGTTTGTCTCAAAGAGCTTGACAATGCTGGATTGGCATCTGAGCTGGGGTGTTGATGTGTGGATAACCGAAAGTGCAGTAAAAGAGGTAAGCTGTATAATAATTCCAGTTACTTGCTCCCCAAAATATGTTGATTTGAGAATTCCCACTACTTGTCCAATTGGACCACTGTTCCCATTAATTATTAGAGCTTTGGCTCAGGAATCAGAGGGGTGAGATCACCACAGAGGATTGACTTGATTCCGATATAGAGAGGATACACTATGTACCCACTCACATTCTACCGTAAAGGTGTCTTGACGGAAAATCCTATTTATGCAATTCATGTGAAGAACTGGCTGTTGAGTATATTATTGTTATTGAATAATATTTTTTATTTGTGTAATTTATTGTGTCAGCTGGGATTAACTTTCCTCTGCAGTTAGTCTCCACAACTTCAATTAATGCTCCAAAAATAATATATTTTAATAATTTATAACACTGCTTCTGTTAACCTCAATCATTCTGACTTACTGGCAAATAGAATTCAGACCAGAAGTGAAAGCCACCACACACAAAATCCTGGGAAGCAACATTTATGTTGACAAGAGACCAGAATAAATGAATTTGAATACAATAATAAAACAAACATTTAATTTATGCTATTTTCTAGTGCATGTAATACAAATACAATGGGCCATAGTAAGCCAACGAATATTATTTTCAGCACTTTGAGTCAATTTTTGATTTGCTAACATTATATTTTTGGAGCTTGCATGACGCGTATTGAATATTGTACAGCTTGCTTTTAGTGTCCTCCTCGGTAAAAAAAAACAGGTGGGACCTTGGTTTAATCTCTCCTCCTCTCTCTCCATCCCTCTCGTCTTCTATCCCCACTTGACCCTCCCACAACCTCCCTCTGCTCCAGCCTGGGAATCCTCCGCTGGGCTCACCGTGGCACTCGGCGTTGGCTGTCCAGCAGCAGCCACACCGACTGCCCCATTCCCCACCACACTCGCCACCCACCCCGGACACAGACCCGGGGAGTCAACCTCTCCTCCCTTATCCCCATCCCCCCACCCCTGCCTCACAACCTGGACCCCCCTCCCCTCCCACACACCCTTCTATCAACCGCTCCCTCCACATCGGACTGCAAAATGTCCGCTCCCTCTGCAACAAGGCCCTGGTCATCAACGATCTCATCCTTGATGAGAACGTTGATATCATGGCCTTAACGGAAACCTGGCTCACCCCAGGCGACACCTTCCCCCTCACGGAGGCCACACCACCCGGCTACACCTCCCACCACATCCCCCGCCCCAACCGCCGTGGCGGTGGTGTTGCCCTTATCTCAAGGACACCACTTGCCCTATCCCCTTACTCCACTGGCTCTTTCCCCTCCTTTGAGCACCTCACCCTCTCCCACCCCTCATTCCTCTCCCTTAAAATCCTCCTCCTCTACCGGCCCCCTAAAACCTCTCCCACCTTCATCTCTGACATTTCAACACTCCTCACATCTCTTTGCCTCTGCTCTGATCGCCTCATCATCCTGGGCGACTTTAACCTACACTTCACCCCCTCCTGCTCCATCTCCACAGACTTCTCTTCCCTGCTCTCCTCACTCAACCTCTCCTTACACATAAACTCCCCCACTCACAGTCACGGCCACCCACTCGATTTGGTGATCACCCGGGGCCTCAGTGTCTCGGATGTCACTATTACCGACAAGGCCATCTCTGACCACTACTTCATCTCCTTCACCACCTCCACCCCCTCCCCACCTCCACCAGACCCACCACCATCTTCTACCGCCCTTGGAAGAAGTTACCCCCACAATCCCTAACCGATGCCTTGGAGTCCTCTGAACTCCTCTCCCTCTGGCCTTCAACCCTCACCGACCCCTCTTCTCCTCTCTCCCTCCTCCACAATACCCTCTCCTCCACACTCGATACTCTTGCCCCCATCACTTCCCGCACTGTCTCCTACTCCCGCTCCTCCCCCTGGTACACCACCCACCTCCGCTCACTGAAAAGCCAGGTGCGGGCTGCTGAACGCACCTGTGTCAAATCTGGCCTAACGGTCCACCGACAAATCTGGCTGGACCTCCTCAAAATTTACCGCTCCACTCTAGCCTCGGCCAAGTCGTCCTTCTACTCCAGGATAATCCTGGAGGCGAAGAACAACCCCAGGCTACTGTTTTCCACCACAACCCGACTCCTCCGTCCCCCCCGCCACCCCGCGCAGGTCATCTCCTCCAACCTTCACTGCGAGGAGATGCTGGATTTCCTTGAATCCAAGATCAAGGGAATCCGCTCCGCGGTCACTTCCCCTCCAACTTCCACCAACCCCCCACCCCCTCCCTCCCACACTCCGACTCCTACCCATCCTCCCCTACACACTTTCGTACCCGTTTCCCCACCCTCTGTCACTGAACTCATCCTATCCCTAAAACCAACCACCTGCTCCCTTGACCCCATCCCCACTCCACTCCTTATCTCCCAGCTCCACTTTCTTGCCCCACATATCACTGACATCATCAACCTGTCCCTCTCCTCTGGCTCTGTCCCCATTCCATTAAAAACTGCCACCATCACGCCCACCCTGAAAAAACCCTCCCTTGATGCGTCGCAGCTATCAAGCTACCGGCCCATCTCCAACCTCCCCTTTCTCTCCAAGGTCTTGGAAAGAGTTGTCGCCTCCCAACTGCGCTCTTTCCTTTCCACCCATTCTCTTTTCGAACCCCTTCAGTCAGGTTTCCGTGCTGCCCATAGCACAGAAACTGCCCTGGTCAAGGTCACCAATGATATCCTGACCATCTGTGACCAGGGCTCCCTCTGCCTCCTCGTCCTCCTCGACCTATCGGCAGCATTCGATACGGTCGACCACGCTATCCTACTCCACCGCTTGTCCTCCCACCTCAACCTTCAAGGCACTGTCCTTGAATGGTTTAGGTCGTACCTTTCTCACCGTCTTCACTTTGTCTCGACGAATGGCTTCTCCTCCACCCCCGTACTGTCTCATGTGGTGTCCCTCAGGGCTCTGTCCTCGGTCCCCTCCTCTTCACCCTCTATATGCTCCCCCTTGGTGACATCATCCGCAGACATGGAGTTAACTTCCACATGTATGCGGATGACACCCAACTCTACCTTTCCTCCTCTACTCTCAACTCCACGACCACCGATGTCCTGACAGCCTGCCTGTCCGACATCGAGTCCTGGACGAGAGACAACTTTCTTCAGCTCAACGTGCGAAAAACCGAGGCCCTCCTGATTGGCTCACGTCAGCGCCTCCGCACCTCAGGCGCTGACACCATCAGCATCCAAGGCTGCACTCTCCACCTCTCAAAGCCAGTCAGGAACCTCGGCGTTTTGTTCGACCCTGAGCTGTCCTTTCTCCCTCACATCCGCACCACAACTGGCACCGCCTTCCATCACCTCCGGAACATCGCCAGACTACGGCATTACCTCACCCCTCACGCTGCTGAAACCCTGGTTCACGCCTTTGTCACCTCAAGGCTGGACTATGGGAACTCTCTCCTCGCCGGCCTTCCCGCCACCTCCCTCCACAAGCTGCAGGTCATTCAGAACTCTGCAGCTCGTGTACTGTCCCGCACCAGGCTTCGGGACCACATCACTCCCACCCTCGCTCGCCTCCACTGGCTCCCCATCCCCCAGAGGATTGATTTCAAGATCCTCATCCTCACCTACAAGGCCATTCACGGCCTTGCTCCCTCCTACCTCTCCAACCTACTATCCCCCTACCTACCTGCCCGTACCCTCCGTTCCTCTGGCTCCGGTCTGCTCCACGTCCCCCGCCCCAACCGCCCTACCATCGGTGGTCGGGCCTTCAGCCTCTCAGCCCCTAGGCTCTGGAACTCTATCCCCCAGTGCCTTCGCCTTGCTTCCTCCCTCTCCTCCTTCAAGGCCGGTCTCAAAACCTTTCTCTTTGACCGAGCCTTCAGCTCCCCTCTCGACTCTCTTCCCCCTCCTCGCTCCCTCCCTTCCCTCCCCTCACCCTGACCATTTCCCCCCTCCTCGCTCCCTCCCTTCCCTCCCCTCACCCTGACCATTTCCCCCCTGCTCGGATCATGACCCAACTGTGCAGCGCCTTGGGACGTCCTCCTGACGTGAAAGGCGCTTTATAAATGGAATCTTGTTGTTGTTGTTGTTAATGCTTCAAAAAATGGCACTTCCAACAATGCAGCGCTCCCCGAGCACTGCAGAGGAGTATCAGTCTGGATGATGAGTACCAGGTCCCGACATGGGGTTTGAACCCACAGTCTTTTGAATCAGAGGCAAGAGTTTATTTCACTAAACTCAATCCTCATACACTTGAAGTTTACCTCTCTAAAGTGGTCCACTGGGATTTTGTTGCATGCTTGTACTGTTTCCCAACTCGTATTGTATATTGTTACTCTCTAGTCACCATCACACCCAGTGCTTCAAATACTTCTACTCCCTGAATATTGCTTGATCACTGACAGGAACTAAGTCCAGGACAAAGAGTGAGACTTCTTGACACAGTGAGTCAGGAGAGACTGAAGTATTATAATGAAAATCTTTGAGTCCTTTCCACTTGATTGTTCCCAATTTATTTTGAGCTGGTTCAAATTCTCCATCAATAAATATCACAGTACAATGTTTTCTTATTCATTGCTTGTAATGCAGCAATGAAGTGGGATGCATCAATCTTCTTACTTTAGCCTGGCAGGTCTTGCTTTTTGTCTGCGGTTTATCTAATAATACAGTACTTTCTTAATATGTCTAAAATTTTGATGTTCATTGAAGTGTTGGTGAAAGAATCCAGAAAGTTGGTTTAGTTAGTGGACCTTCTTGCAAAATTCAATGCTTTAGAGCCATCCAAGTCAAAATTAACCAGAAGCGTTTTTGCTTGAAAACAAATGAGAAGAGAAATTTTCTTAAGAATGGAGGAGATGGTTGTGTCAAACACAACTGCTGTTACAGATGGCTCTGCTGGTTCTGACGAAAGGTCATCGACTTGCAATGTTTACTTACTTTCCTCTCTCCATAGATGCTGTCTGACATCCTGAGTGTTCCCAGTGACTTCTGCTTTTATTTCAGATTTCCAGTATCTGCAGTATTTTGCTC